AATAATAATAATATTTATTACAGTGTTCAAAATATCCCATAACTAGTCTCTGTTAGACTATATAAGATCCAAAAGGAATGCGTTTCTCAAGTGATGTCGTCCTGTTGGTTTCCCGAACAACATTTTACACTCACAGCTCAGTTGAATATAACAGTCTAAGAATTATATACTTTAAAATACTGGCAATATCAGAATTAATATATATTAACAGCCATTAATACCTAATTGATCATTTACAAGGTCATTTTATTTCAATATTTGTACCGTTTAAATATTCTGAACCAGTTATCGACAATTATTTGCTAGAACCCGGTCACTCCGCTCACTATTTTAAATATCTGTGCCTTCATATGTACCACCGATGTCTTAGAAGTTGATACTGTTTAAAGCTTTGTGCTAGTAACCAGCTTCTATTAGAGACTTAGTCACTTTTTTTCAACGTATGTTAGAATTCAAGTTATTAATTAAGGTCCCGACGTCTTGTACACCCCAATAGTTAACATACATCTCGGAAATTAATTAAATAAAGGGACAGATCGAAATTTCAACTTATTTTCCCCCTGAAATTCTGAATGACTGATGAATTTTCAACAGATAAACAGCTTGTGGAACGTTGTCATATTTTTAATGTAATAAATGAATTCTGTTGCAGACAGTTAAATGGGGTAGTCTTAGTAATAACAGTTAATAATATGTTCAGATTAAATTATAATATTACGAATTGTGAAGGTTTTTCCTCGTGTTGTATCGTCCCGAATAGATAGAGGCCTTCAGAATGACCGCCCCTTCATCGAAAAGGAAGTTTAAAAACCTTAAAATTAAATTATTTGTTTATTCCGTCAAATCACAATGTATTTAAAATAAGATAATTAAAATAATTAAAATCTTAATAATTATTAAAATAAGATAATTAAAATATTAATTATTTTAATTATATTATTTTAAATACATTGTGATTTGACGGAATAACCAAATAATTTAATTTTAATTTTATAAGTCACAATATAACGCAACTACACTATCTTTAAAAACCTTGCAGAATTCTTCAGAAAAGCAGAGACTCAACGCGGACAATTATCATAATCACGCGTAAAAACTGTTATCAATTTTATTCCGTATTTGATCTACTGGATTTATAATTTAAACCTTAATATATGTGCATTACCTTATCTGGATCTAGAGAAAGTTTCTTAAGTTTCTTGGTAAGAAAGGCGAACCAGGCAACTTTCAAGCTTCATCAGACGCACGTAGAAGGCAACCACCTCAGCCCACCTAAGACAACATTCTGCAGTCACAAACAAGTCCTGTACGTTCGAAAGTCGTCAAAACATTTAAATGGAAAGATATTGTGTACGACTTATTTACAGGCCTAATCACATAGGCCCCTTGCTTTAATTTCGTAAATATAAAAGTTACTCCAAAGATTTCCTGATTTTTTCGTAATAAATACAATGCATGTAAATGTACAGATAAAAATTTGTCTCAGTGTTCAACTACGTCACAAAGACTTACAGAGGGAGTTAAGGCAAATCTCGTTGCTTTATTAATCTCGGGAAAATTATAACTGTGTATTAGCTTCACGTTTTGGCCGTTTTAACTCCGGACAAAATTCTCAAATACCTATTCAAAAATATCCGTCTCATATTCGATCTGGGCGTGTAATATTAAAAGAAAAATCAGATTTAATAAACACACTTATGTGTTTCTTAAAATACTTAATCACAAATAAATATATAGAAGATAAATTTTTTGAATTAATTACATATCTGATCTTCATGTATTATTATGCCAGCAACACTAATTTTATTTAATATATATTTAAGAAAACACACCTAAAAATTACAAGTTCAATAACACCCTCCGATCTCAGCTCCGTGAAATCTATTTTAATATTATCCTCACATATTTGGCTACGCCTTCAGTGTGGTATTACAAGTATTTATCATCTCTTTCATAAACGTTCCCTTTATAATTTCATAAAGCGTTGATTTTTTTACGACGGAGAGTTGTAAGACCCTGGAAAACCACCCCTTGTTGGCTGTCAGCGGCTGCTTACTCATTATATTAGTTCGCCTCTGTATCTGGAGGCCATATCCTCCACCTTGTGATGACAAAGACGTTCATGAGAATGTATCCTGATATTTAATCTTCTGGTTGACATTTTCCCATGCAGAAAACTAATTTCATGGACCATAATCTAGTCAATAATTCATAATTATAGAAATAAACAAGATTATCACTTACCTAATCCTCTGCCAGATTCATATTACCCAATTTCAAAACCTATTCTTAAATCTCAATTTTGGTGTTAACCTCCAAACTAGTTTTATGTTTCTCAAGTTATCTCCTCACTTCCGGTTTTCTGACTAACCTTTTTGTATGCATTTTTGTCTTACTCTGTTTCCGGCGTGCCCTATTTAACCAGATTGTGAGAACCCTGTTGCAAATTCATGATATTAGTTGTTACGAAAGTTACCTTTACCTTTGTGAAGTGTACTGGTCCTTTATTCAACCTCTACGCTTTCACATGGAGCTTAAACGCTTGTTTCACTGCTATTCTTGTCGGTAGATGTCACTGTATATCTTCCTGTAATGGTAGAATAGGTCTTCAATTTACCGCTAGGTGGTAGGCAGTCACTACATGAGTTTCCGTTGGCAACCAGATTCCGCTACGACACGGAAGTTTTGTTTATTTGTGTAAAAAAACCTTCTAACGTATCCCACGCAAACACGAATATCAGCTCACATACAATTAATTCTAATTTATCTATGATTATATAACATATTAATAGAGCAATAGAATGATTATTGATAAAGAATCAGAAATTGTGTGGAATGCAATTTTGATTCAAGGAGCTATTCAGACATTTGCTTGGAGAGTCTGAGGAAACCTATGAAAAGTCAGTTTCCCCGACCGAGATTTGAACCCGGAACATACCAAAAACGTAGTGTAAGTGCAATTTAACAATAATTTTAGAATCTCGGTATGAATATCATGCCACAGAATAACTCCTTTTGGTACGTAGTTTTCTGAATTTTAGTTTTCTGTGATCAGTAGTACCAACGTGGCCGCTGTGAAACTTAAGGGGTAGGACCAACGTTCAACGTAGAGCACTAAATATTTGTATGATGATGGTTAATTGAAAATAATGCAGATTTTATTTTGTTTCCTTCAGGAAATTACCTACTAATATGACGGATCCGCGAAATATTTTGATGGGAGGGTGGTCACTGATGAATCATTGTAGCCTGGCTTTTGAATTGTTTGAAGACTTGTTACGAAGGTATCTACTATTAGTACAAGTGGTTCAGAAAATTTTTAAGTGCCCACAAGAATACAAGGTGTCATAATAGAGAGGAGTACAATCCCATTATATAATCACTTATCTTCATATTTAAATATTTAACAATTTTATGTTGTAATAAACTACACGGTATGCAAAGTTTTAAAATTTTGTTGTATTTTCTCGTGTTGCATCACACATAAATAACTATAATAAAAAAAATAAAAAATGACCTTGAAACATTGACGAACGTCAAAATCATCCAAGGGCTTTCAGTTTTTGTATCTCTTGTTGCGAACTGTATCCAACGTCTCGAACTGGACAGTTGATAATCGATATTTTATCTAAGGATTTATAGATTTTCCCCTTAGCTGTAAACCCAGGACTGTTTTGAGGCTTATCAGACCCTAGAACAAATGACTTGACGTATTTGTTTCTGAAAAAGTGCTTTTAAGCTAGGGTATAATTAAATCAGTAGTGTTAAAGTAATGACTCGTCTTTTCAGAATCTTTCAGATATCATAGAAATTGGATGTTTGTTATAACAACAGACGCCGCGGGGTTTTATAAATGCATCGGTTTAACAAAACAGACGCATACAATGATACAGCATTGTTCACATTTATTTATATTGTCGCAAATATACATAGATTTTTACACAAAATATTAAATTTCAGTACATACACATCTAATTGATATTATTACATTTATACACACAAACATTCTTTATTTTTTTGGTAACAAAAGTTATAGATTTTAAAAACAACTGTTTCAGTACTTACCATAAGCTCAATTTCACGTTTCATTACTAAACAATAAGTCTCGTGGTGCACTACACTTCGTAGGTACGAGGTGCGATCGGAAAGTTTCAAGACTGCGCGTATAAAAACCCGTACACTTATCTCAGGTATTAAATTCACCCCTCCCCCTCGAAGTAGTTCCCCTGGGAGTGAACACAACGAT